TGAGACTATGCTGGACTATTTGGACTATTCCAACATCATTATGATGGGAGATATGAATGGGGTGGTATCTACAAACATGGATAAGTCACAAAACCAAAATCTGACAAAAGACGGCAGACTGCCTAGAACTTTCTTTGAACTAACTGACAATATGGACTTGATTGACATATGGAGGACAAAGAACCCCTTAGGTAAAGAAGGAACTTTCTTTTCTGAGGCCCATTTGTCATGGACAAGGATCGACCAAATTTGGACAACTAGAGGTCTGGCACCTAAGACTAGAAAAGTGGAAATCTGCCCAAAAACCTGCTCCGACCATAACGCCTTGAAAGTGGAATTGAGACTTACTCCAACCGGTTCCTTCAGATGGAAAATGAATGACACCTTATTAAGAGATCAGGAGGTTGTGAAGAAGGCCCAAAAAACTTTAAGAGACTACTTTGAAATAAACTTGAATACAACGGTAGAAAAAAGAACGATCTGGGACGCAAGTAAAGCAGTTATGAGAGGGTTTCTGATACAACAAAATACGATCAAGAAAAGACTCTGGAATGGAAAAAAGGAGAAGATCTTGGAGAAAATAAGAGAAGGAGAGAAAAAATTGAGAACTAATCCAAAATCGAAGGAGGTGCTGAGAGAAATCAAATTCCATCAAGCACAATATTCGAAATTGATAAATCAAGAGGTTGAATGGAAAATTAAACAAATGAAGCAAAGATCTTTTGAATCAGCAAATAAATGTGGAAAACTGCTAGCATGGCAGTTGAAAAAGAGACAAAAATTGAATACAGTTACAAATCTAGAGATTGATGGGAGAATTGTTCAGAAACCAGAAGAAATCAGAAGGTGTTTCCAGAGATACTTCAAAGAACTTTATGCACAGGGGCCACAGAAAGAGTTCGAGATAGACCAATCTTTAAAATCTAATGGATTACCGAAAGTAACTCAGGAAAAGAGAACAATCCTGAACTGTAAAATAACACAACAGGAAATTGAAGGCGCCATTCAGAATATGCAACTAGGCAAATCTCCAGGCCCGGATGGACTTACCTCCAAATATTATAAGACTTTGAAGGACTATCTGATACAACCTCTGTTAGAGGTATGTAACCAGATTATGGAGGGGAAGAAGGCACCGGAGTCGTGGAAAGAAGCTTTCATCACATTGATTCCTAAAGTGGAAACTGAAAAGACTCAACTTAAGAACTACCGTCCCATCTCACTCCTAAATGTGGATTACAAAAGTTTTGAATGAAGTAATTCACAAGGACCAAGCTGGCTTTCTCCCAGGTAGACATTTGTTTGACAACACCAGGAACATTATTGATATTTTGGAACTTTTACAAACAAATATCAATAGGAGAGCAGTGTTAATTTTTATTGATGCAGAGAAAGCCTTTGATAATATCTCTTGGACGTTTATGAAGAAAAACTTGGAAGGGATGGGAGTGGGACGGGGGTTTGAAAATGGAATACAAACAATTTATTCAGAGCAAAAAGCTAAATTGATAGTGAACAATGTGGTGACAGAGGAGTTTAAAATTGAAAAAGGGACACAACAGGGGTGCCCTCTATCTCCTCTTTTATTTATCTCAGTCCTGGAGGTGCTATTGAACATGATCAGGGAGGACCGGTCGGTACAAGGAATAGAGGTCGGAGTGAAACAATATAAATTGAAAGCTTTTGCAGATGATTTAGTCTTAACACTACAGGAGCCAGTATCTAGTACAAAAAGAGTTCTAGAACTGATTCATGAATTTGGTCGGGTGGCGGGATTTAAGCTGAACAAGCAAAAGACCAAGGTTTTGGCTAAAAACTTGACACCTACAGAAACAGAGGGGTTTCAGAAAGAAACAGAACGAAGTGTTGTCAAAAAAGTGAAATATCTAGGGGTTCATTTGACTGTAAAAAAATTTGAATTTATTTAAAGATAATTATGAAAAATGTTGGTCGGAAATTAAGAAGGATTTGGAAATTTGGTCAAAGTTGAAACTTTCCTTGTTGGGCAGAATTGCAGCTATAAAGATGAATGTATTGCCGAAAATGTTATTTTTGTTTCAAACCCTACAGATCGTGGACAGAGTGGAATGTTTTGGAAAGTGGCAGAAGGATATATCTAAGTTTGTCTGGCAGGGCAAAAAGCCCCGAATAAAGTTTAAAATATTAACTGATTCGAAAGAAAGAGGGGGGTTTGCCCTGCCGGACCTGAGGTTGTATTATGAATCTGCAGCCTTTTGTTGGCTGAAGGATTGGTTTCTGTTGGAGAACACTGATGTCCTGGATCTGGAAGGGTTTGACAATGCTTTTGGTTGGCATGCTTACCTGTGGTACGACAAGGTCAAAGTTCATAAATTATTCAAAAACCATATTGTCAGAAGAGCAATCTTTGCGGTTTGGTCGAAATATAAAGACTTACTGGAGGGCAAGACCCCGAGATGGCTTTCACCGATGGAGGCCAAGGCTAGGAAAAGACCCAACATGGAGGCCTACTGGCCAAAATATTGGGAAATAATTGAAAAAGTTGGAGACAAATGGAGGTTGCAGAGCCAAGACAAACTAAAAAATAAGGTGCGGGATTGGCTACATTATGCTCAAATCCAAGAGGTTTTTAAAATGGACAAAAAAGTTGGTTTCCAGGTGGAAAAATCGAAATTAGAGACGGAATTGTTAGAATCAAAAACTAAGACACTTTCGAAAATGTATAACTTGCTGCTTAAATGGAATACACAGGATGAGACAGTTAAATCTGCCATGATAAAATGGGCACAGGACATTGGACACAACATTATGTTTGAAGACTGGGAAAGGTTATGGAACACCGGTATAAAGTTTACGGCATGTAATGCCTTGAAAGAAAACATTATGAAAATGATATACCGGTGGTACATGACCCCAGTCAAGTTAGCTAAGATATACCACTTGTCTGATAATAAATGTTGGAAATGTAAGGAGGCAGAAGGGACATTCTTCCATCTTTGGTGGACCTGCCCAAAAGTGAAGGCCTTCTGGGAAATGATTTACAACGAGTTAAAAAAGGTATTTAGGTATACCTTTCCCAAGAAACCAGAGGCCTTCCTACTGGGCATGGTGGACCAGAAGGTGTTAAAGAAGGATAGAACTCTGTTCATGTACGCTACTACAGCAGCAAGAATTCTTATTGCAAAGCATTGGAAGACTCAAGATTTACCCACGCTGGAGGAGTGGCAGACGCAGTTGATGGACTACATGGAACTGGCTGAGATGACTGGCAGAATCCGAGATTTGGGTGAGGAAACAATGGAAGAGGACTGGAAAAAATTTAAGGACTATTTGCAAAAACACTATAAGTTGTATGAATGTTAAGAAATACGCACGATTAGGGAATTTTTTTTTTGCTTTAGCAACTTGATTAGGTAAACTGAAAATTAAGACAAGAAAAAAGAGGTGGTAATAAGAAACAATTTTATTATGTTAATTTTAAATGTACAAAGTTGGGATATAATATTGTGAACTTAGAAACATAATAACTGAAAGATACAGTAAGTTAAGAAACAGGGTAACAAATTGCTGAAACTTTTATTACAAAGAACGCAGAGTCGGGAGGATGTGGGGAAGTCCATTTGGAATATTGAAAAACTACTGAAAATTGGATTGTAATGACCTTTTTATTATTTCGGTTTTGTATTTGTTTCTTGTATTTTCCTACCCCAATTTTGTGTCTATGACCTTAAGAAAAGAAACTCAATAAAAAATATTTTTAAAAAAATGAAGTGGATGAGTCCAGTTAGTGGCACTGGCTCAAGGGCGATGCTGACATCGCCTAAGAACATAGGAGATGCCCTGTTAGATCAGGTGAAAGGCCTGTCTGGTCCAGCATTCTCTTCTCAGTGGCCTATCAGTCTTGGCTATTTGCAGTGTAGTAGCGCTGCAGAGAGCTTGCTGGGGAGACCATGCATTAAAAAGGGACTCAAAAATAACTTAAACAAGGTTTTAATAACAAAAACTCCATTTACACTAAATACATCAACATGACCCAACCACCAACCCATCCCCCAGGGTAATGGGAGAGCTAGGTGCTGCTCCTTATATACTACACCCAATTGCTGACACAGCTTAATCAGTACAACTCAGCAGCACCTGATATGTCTCACAGCTGTAAAGCTGGGTCTTGTTATTTTGCTCTGGCCCTTGCTCTGGCTCCTTAAAGACATACACATCGGGTGGAACAATGATGAACCTTTACATTTAAAGAAACCATTCAACAACCAGATGCCTCAATGGGAAGCCCACAAGCAGGACCTGAATGCAGCAGGGCTCTTCTCACTTGTGATTCCCAGCAGCTGGTATTCAGTACCATACTGCCTCTGATTATAGGTGCAGTCTGCTCTTTCTTGCTGCCTGGTTGCTTGGACAGCTGGTGTTACTTTGGCTAGTCACTCAGTGCTCTGCTGGTTGCTCTCCATTTTGCCCATGATCTGTCAGGGTTTAGCCCAAGTCTGTGAGCTGGGATTGGACCCTGGATACTGCCTCTGACAACACTATTGCAAAGCAGAACTCATTGCGTTCAGTATGGAGTAATGTTACACACAGAGATAAACACACACACACGCACACACACAGATTTTTCACGCTCCTAGAGTATGATTTCACCCTCATCTAAAGAGCAAGTGGAAGTAAATTTGGGTCTTCCTGCCTCCACCATCTGAGAAATATTGAGTGAAGCTTATATCATTTCCTGGGAGAGTTTCCAGGCACAAGGCATCACCCTACCATTCCATACACAATCTGATATTAGTGTCAAAAATCTACAGAAAGAAAGCACCAATCTCTGAGATGGCTTTACTAGTGGAGGAGCAAAGGGAGAGAGCAAAATCAATAATAATAATAATAATAATAATAATAACAATAATAAATAAATTATTTACTCAGTTACTCTGGGCAGCTCCCAATCAAGTATTAAAAACAACATAGGAATAAATATTAAAAACTACCCTAAAAAGGGCTGCCTTCCGATGTCTTTTAAAAATAGGATAGTTGCTTATTTCCTTGACATCTGATGGGAGGGCGCCACTACTAAGAAGGACCTGAATAGTGTGCATACATATCCAATTCCTTCATGAATTTGTCTTTTAAAGTCATCCAAGTTGGTGGCCATCACTATATCTTCTGGTATGAATTTCATAGTTCGATGGTCTTCTCCTTTTCCACTAGATATGTTCACTCTTCAGCCTTGATCTGTCCTTCAGTGAAGATTTCCACATCTTCCACTTTCGTCACTGAAACTTGCTTCTTCAAGATGGAAGATGAGAAGCTCAGAGAGGAAAATAGCCACCTCCTGTTTTCTATTGAACTAATGTGTTTCCCCCTCTCTAAAAGTTCATCCAGTGCATATGCCCACGGCTGTTGCTTGCAATGTGCACCAGGGTTTTCTGCACCAAAAATTCTGGTCACTCATGCCATTGTGAATGCTGGTTCTCCAGGGTGTTGTCCTGTTTCCTGCATAGGTGCCACCATATTGTTGTCAGTCTTTTGAACAGGGAGATAAACTCCATTTCGTTGTTCCTCCTAGAACAAGGCAGATTTGTTTAAAATCAATACAATATATTGATGGATTCAGGCAATGCTGAGTAAGTAGCAATGTGACTTTCCTCCAGCCCCAACTCTGATTAAACTTCTGATCACAACAGCACCATCAACGGGTAAGGTGTTTTGCTGAATAAACACTGGATATTTTTTACACTATGTTGAAATCAATTTTATTGATGAAATTTTATTAATCGTGAAATTAAAGTCTTTTTCCAGAAAAAAGAAAAGATTCTCTCGACCTTAGCTAGCAGGTCCTTCGCTTTAAGTTGTTTACAAAGAGGGGGGTGGACTTCCTTTTTAACCCTTCCCCGCTCGTTCCTAATCCGCAAAAATTTTTCTTTAAAATTCCAATTTCCGTATTTACTCACAGGTTGATGTTTCAGAGTCCGAATGTTCCAAGGAAAAAGTCAGCGCTCTCTGCTAATGGCATGCGGCTTCACTCCGCAGATGCAGGAGTACTCTCAGCACCGCACCGCACCCCGTCCCCGTTCCGAAGCCTTTAAAAAGGCTCCTTCACGGATTGGGGGGGCGCTAATGGTGCCCGCCAAGTCACTACGCTCACAGGCTTCTACGCCTGTGATTTTAAGGGTCCCCGCATCGCCGCAGCGGCAAGACCCAGTTCTGCAGAGCTGATTCCCTCCAGAGCTCGGAGGGAATCCGTCATTAAGTGATGGCGCCAACCCGGAAGTCTGGGAAAGATGGAATTGTTTTTAACTATTTTTATTTTGTATTTTTCTTTTTTCATTTTGTAATACTTTGAAAATCTTAATAAATATCTTATAAAAAAAGAGAGAAAGTGCAATAGCAACCCTTAATATATGCTGAAATTGCATTTTGAAAGGAATATGGGCAGAAGAAAAGGAGTTGTAAAAGGCTTATGTAAAAGAATACTCACCTTTTCTCTGGGAGCACTTTCCGTGTAAAAGACAACCTCCAATTTTAATTCTATAAAATTTGGAGAAAAATACAGTCTTATACATGGGAAAATACAATAATTAGTTGGGCTTTTAAAAAAGAACAGCAACAAGTAGCTCTGAGATAAGCAGGTGCAAAGGACAGTCCATTGTTGGCAAATGTGAATAAGATCAGAACTGCCAAATTTCATTAATAAATTCATTACAAACAGATTCCTCATCCACCCCTAGACATTTATTACAGATGACTAAAGATGGACTTGAAATCAAACTTGAGGGAATCTTGGGTAAAGGTAAAGGACCCCTGGATGGTTAAGTCCAGTCAAAGGTGACTATGGGGTTGCAGCATTCATCTCGCTTTCAGGCCAAGGGAGCTGGCATTTATCCACAGACAGATTTCTGAGACATGTGGCCAGCATGAATAAATCGCTTCTGCTGCCCCAAAACCTGCTCCGACCATAATGCCGTGAAGATGGAAATGAAACTGACGCCAATTGGTTCCTTTAGATGGAGGATGAATGACACTTTGTTTAGGAATGAAGAATTCACTAAGAAGGCCCAAAAAACTTTGAGAGACTACTTTGAGATAAATATGAACACTACTGTGGAAAAAAGAGTAATTTGGGATGCAAGCAAAGCGGTCATGAGAGGATTTTTGATACAACAGAATGCAATTAAGAAGAGAATTCAAAATGAGAAAAAAGATAAAATCCTGGAAAAAATAAAGGAAGGAGAGAAGAAACTGAGGGTGAAACCAAAGTCGCAGGAGATTTTGAAAGAGATAAAGTTATATCAAGTACAATATATGAAAATGATGAATCAGGAAATAGAATGGAAGATTAAACAGATGAGACAAAAGACATTTGAATCGGCAAATAAGTGTGGAAAAACTGTTGGCTTGGCAAATGAAAAAAAGACAAAAACTTAATACTATTACGAATTTAGAAGTGGAAGGAAAGAATATACAGAATCCAGGGGAAATTAGAAAGTGCTTCCAGAGGTATTTCAAAAAACTATATACATAGGAAACGCAGAAAGAAATGGACATTGATAAATTTTTGAAAATTAATGGACTACAAAAAATTTCCCAGGAAAATAAGTTAATGCTGAATTATAAAATAACGGAACAGGAAGTAGAAGGGGCCATTCAGAACATGCAATTGGGTAAATCCCCAGGACCGGATGGGTTGACTTCAAGATACTACAGATCTCTGAAAGAATGGTTAATACAACCTTTAAAGGAAGTCTGTAATGAAATACTGGAAGGGAAAAAGGCACCAGAGTCGTGGAAGGAAGCGTATATTACACTTATACCAAAAACAGAGACTGAAAAGACACAGCTTAAGAACTACCGCCCCATATCACTGCTTAATGTGGATTATAAATTTTTTGCAGATATTTTGGCTAGAAGATTAAAAAAAGGTGTTAGCAGAAGAAATTCATAAAGATCAAGCGGGTTTTCTCCCGGGCAGACACTTGTCTGACAATACGAGGAATATAATTAATATCTTAGAAAAACTACAAGTGAAGATCAATACTAAAGCAGTTTTGATATTTGTGGACGCGGAGAAAGCCTTTGACAACATTTCCTGGAGTTTTATGAAGAAGAATTTACAGGGGATGGGGGTTGGTCAAGGTTTTGGAAATGGTATAGGTGCAATTTATTCAGAACAGAAGGCTAAATTAATTGTGAATAACATAGTGACAGAAGAATTTAAGATTGAGAAAGGAACACGACAAGGTTGCCCAATCTCTCCATTGCTTTTTATATCGGTCCTGGAGGTTTTGCTAAATATGATTAGAAGGGACCAATTGGTAAAAGGTATACAAGTGGGAGCCAAACAGTACAAACTGAAAGCATTTGCTAATGATTTGGTATTGACTTTACAGGAGCCAGAATCTAGTACTAAAAGAGTACTGGAACTGATTCAAGAATTTGGTCAGGTAGCAGGCTTCAAGTTGAACAAGACGAAAACTAAGGTTTTAGAGAAAAATCTAACTGAGATTGAGAGAGATAAGTTTCAGAAGGAGACAGGATTAACACTGGTTAAGAACGTGAAATATTTAGGGGTTAACATGACTGCTAAGAATGTGAATTTATTTAAGGATAACTATGAAAAATGTTGGACTGAAGTGAAAAAGGATTTAGAAATATGGTCAAATTTGAAGTTATCACTGTTAGGCCGAATTGCTGTGATAAAAATGAATGTATTGCCAAGAATGCTGTTTCTGTTTCAAACATTGCAAATTTTGGACAAAATAGACTGCTTCAAGAAGTGGCAGAGAGATATCTCTAGATTTGTCTGGCAGGGCAAGAAGCCTCGTATAAAATTTAAGATATTAACTGATGCTAAAGAAAGAGGTGGATTTTCCCTGCCAGACCTTAAACTTTATTATGAATCAGCCGCTTTCTGTTGGCTGAGAGAATGGATGCTTCTTGAAAACACTGATGTGTTGGATTTGGAAGGTTTTAACAATGTATTTGGTTGGCATGCATATCTGTGGTATGACAAGGTTAAAGCACACAAAGCGTGCTTTGTCAGGAAATTGTCAGGAAAGCACTGTTTAATGTCTGGATAAGATATAAAGACTTGTTAGAAAATAAAACCCCGAGATGGCTGTCACCAATGGAAGCAAAGGCTCAGAAAAAGCTCAATATGGAGGCCAAATGGCCAAAGTATTGGGAAATTCTGGAACAAGAGGGAGACAGATTAAAACTGCAGAGTTTTGAAAAATTAAAAAACAGAGCGCGAGACTGGCTCCACTATTATCAAATAATGGAGGCATATAATTTGGATAAAAAACTAGGCTTCCAGGTGGAAAAATCAAAATTGGAAACAGAATTGCTAGACCCCAAAGTTAAGAATCTGTCAAGAATGTATAACTTGCTGTTGAAATGGAATACTCAGGATGAAATGGTGAAATCTGCTATGATTAAATGGGCACAAGATGTTGGACATAACATTATGATGGCTGACTGGGAACAGTTATGGACCACAGGTATGAAGTTTACGGCATGTAATGCCTTAAGAGAGAATCTAATGAAAATGATTTATAGGTGGTACATAACACTAGTCAAGCTTGCAAAAATCTACCATCTGCCCGATAATAAATGCTGGAAATGTAATGAGACTGAAGGTACATTCTTTCACCTTTGGTGGACATGCCCAAGGATTAAGAACTTCTGGGAGATGATTTATAATGAAATGAAAAAGGTATTTAAATACACCTTTCTGAAGAAATCAGAGGCCTTTCTCCTGGGCATGGTCGGCCAATTGGTGCCAAAGAAGGATAGAACTTTCTTTATGTATGCTACAACAGCAGCAAGAATACTCATTGCAAAGTACTGGAAGACACAAGATCTACCCACCCGGGAAGAATGGCAGATGAAGTTGATGGACTACATCGAGTTGGCGGAAATGACTGGCAGAATCAGAGACCAGGGAGAAGAGTCGGTGGAAGAAGATTGGAAAAAAATTAAAGTTTATTTACAGAAATATTGTAAAATTAATGAATGTTAGAAGGATGCTGGAATGAAGTTATATGGCTTTAGCAGAAATGTTATAAAGAATTAAGTAAAAATAGATTGTTAATGGGTCAAAGTGGAAATTTAAGGTTAGTTTGTGTTAAGATAAATTATAGAACAAAAATTAAGAAAGATGGAAAGGATTTGCTGAAATAGCTAATTGAACAAGAATACAAAAAAGGGAGGTGTGAGGAGGTCGATGATACAAGTAAATGAAAGGTAGAGATATAGAGATATTGGATGTGTTTTTAAATGTTTTTGCTTTTCTTGTCGTTTTGCTGTATTGTTTTTTGTTTTTATTTTGATGTATTGTGAACTTTTTATTGTTTCTTTCTTCTTTTTTCTGTAACTATTAAACCTTTAATAAATATCTTTTTTTTATAAAAAAAGAATAAATCGCTTCTGGTGCAACGGGACACTGTGACAAGTACCAGAGCACACAGAAATGCTGTTTATCTTCCCACTACAGTGGTACCCCATTGCATGGATTCGAACCACGACCTTCCAATTGGCAACCCCAAGATCCTCAGTGATTCCTTACCCTTTGCACATCACAGGTGTGCCATGAAAAAGCCAACTTGCATGTGTTAAGGAGACATCACTGATCAAGCAAGCCAGAGAGAAGTTGAATGACCTCTGTCCATCAAAAGTATTTCACTTTGGACAGCGCTTGGTAAACCCTTTTTTCAGATCAAGGGCCGAATTCCCTTCCAGACAAATTTCCGAGAGTCACATGGCAGTGGTGGATGGAACCAGATAGATAAATGGGCTGAGGAATGAATGTAAAATTTACCTCTGTACACCTGGCAGTTTCTGCACTCCCTCCCCCTGTATCCTCCATCCAAGCATACAAAAAGCATCTTCAGATGTTATGGACATGTTCCAGAAAATGCAGAGCAGTGCCAATGATGGGCATGGCCTGGAGAGAGCTCTGAGGGCCACTTACAGAGGCCTGGAGGGCCGCATTGGACTCCCCTAGGCCTGATGTCCCTCGTCTCTAGCTTAAAAGCCAAGTATACCTTCTTTGTCCTCTCCAATCAAGCAAAAGGCAAGCAAACCAAATGAACTGGGTTTGGGGAAGATTTATGACTGCTCAGAGTAGAGTTCTATCTGCAAGACACAGGAATTCAGGTTCTGGATTTGTTTTTGCTTAACTACACATGCATTCGTTGCACACTTACGTTTTTTGATGCGCTTCCTCAATTGCCATATTATGAAGCCACATATTAAGGCAAAAACCAGCAGAAAACTGATGGCAGTAGCCACATGTTTCCATCTGACATATGCACAAACTGCATTGGAAACTGCTGTGCCTGCTTGTTCTTCTATCATGCCTGCCTTACTGCCAACTGAAAATTAACAGAAAGGGTTAAATTAGGGGTGAATGTTCAGAAGAAGGCTTGATATTTGTGGAGACTAACAGAAGGGCAGTAAAAATGGACTCTGCAAATGCTTGTGGCTGAAATGAGCTGGATGGACAACCTACTACTCAGTGATAGATTTCTCTGGCCTTTCTGTGTTTGTGCATACAGATTATAATTGTCAATTTCACTTGGATACTTATTTGGGAATACCCAGTCTGTCTTTATTAACTTAAGCATTTAAATTAGGTTCAGTAAGATATAGTTGGGACGCTGGTGGTGCTTTTGGGCTTGCTGATCAGAAGGTCAGCGATTCGAATCCCCATGACAAGGTGAGCTCCCATTGCTCGGTCCCAGCTCCTGCCCACCTAGCAGTTTGAAAGCATGTCAAAGTGCAAGTAGATAAACAGGTATCGTGCAGGCGGGCAGGTATACAGCGTCTTCGTGCGCTGCTCTGGTTCGTCAGAAGTGGCTTAGTCATGCTGGCCACATCATCCGGAAGCTGTCTGCAGACAAACACCGGCTCCCTCGGCCTATAGAACAAGATGAGTGCCACAACCCCAGAGTTGTCCGCAACTGGACCTAACAGTCAGGGGTACCTTTACCTTTAAGATATAGTTATTGTTAATGTTAGCTGACAATCTTGCTTACTTGTTTTCTTCCTCCCCCTTCTAATTTGCAAGGAATTATTTCAGTTTCCCTCAGTTTCTCATTTTTCTTATCTTAAATCGGGGGGGGGGGGGCATATGGGGTTTTTTTGCATCAAATTGCAATTTTTCTTTTTTTAAAAAACATTCTCATGAAAATTAGTCATTTTAGTGCAAATTTCTCCTGATACACACATTTTCTATGCTGCTTTGACTAATGCACACATTGTTGAATGGCATGCTCCCTAATGTAATACACTTGTGTATGTTATTTTCACCAATGTGTGCATTTTTACGCACTGTTACCCCTAATATATACATTTTTTTGTAGTAAACATTGGTTGTAGAATTGCATTGCAACATTCGTGGTACTGGGAATTTTGAAGGATAATTGTTTCTGAATTTCTTAAGTATCGATTTGAGAAAATTGGTAGCTTTGTTTCAAAAAGCAAACAAAATTGAATTTCTTTCCCCATTCTCAATGTACTTTTATCTTTAAATAAATTTTAAATTTTAAGAGAAAATAACTGATACGTTATTTCAGCTGACAGCTGTATTGGAACTGATACGTTATTTCAGCTGACAGCTGTATTGGAACATTCAGGAATTGTGAAAAATGGCAAATAAGTAAGATCCGATTTACACATTCGTCTGCCAAATGTGGACCTATTTGTCTTGCAGTTTTTTTTTGGACCTGGATATAATCTAACCTCTGTTTAAGCTTTGTACAAACCAAGATAACAGCTCACTAAGTACGTCATCTTCATGCTTACTTAAAGCATACTCAAGCATTACTCAAGCATACTTCCTAGCAGTAATGGAAAGGAAACAGCACTGAATGGAAAGAGATGTATTTAGAATTAAGACTATGTGGCATCACACAGCCACAAACTGGAAATGCAGCTGTGAGAGAGTCTTTAGTGGCACCTACTTAGTCCAAGGTTCACAGGAGGTGGACATCTCGGTCTCTGAATAGGTCCCAGGAGGACAGGGTACGAACCGGGTGTCATTGGTTTCTGTGCCTGAAAAAGAACAACACGATTTGGGGTGTGTGTGTTCAAATAAGCATATTTCTTTTTCTTTTTCAATATATTTATTGATTTTCAGTGTATATAAAGGAGAAAGTCTTGTCCTTGAGTGTTTCAATTTCTTTTTTCCTAAGCCAAGTATAAATTTCACACATGGTGTCATATAACGTATCCTATATTTATCTTAACAGATCCACCCCTAGTTGCCTATTTGTTGATGGTGGGACACTTGTTCTTTCAGTGTTTTACTAATACTCACTAATACAGTGCCATTGTTCAACAGAACCACCAGATTCTGAAGGCCAGAGTTGTACAGCAATTAGAGTGTCAGACTGGGACTTGGGTGACCAGGGTTCAAATCTCAACTCAGCCATGAAGCTCACAGGGTGACCTTGGGGTCAGTCACTGCCACTCAGCATAGCCTACCTCTCAGGGTTGTTGCCTTTTTTAGCCTGAAGACAGCATTGCCTTCTCGGCAGTAATTGGTGCAGCCAGAAGAGAAGGTGGGTGGGACAAGGGATGCAATTTATGCAGCAGATTAGTTTCTACACATGGACCATCCTCCAGAGAGAGAAGAGGCCTTATCAGAGTCCAAGGGCATATACCAGTCAGGCAAAACGGTCATGTGTAAAGCAAGGCCAGAGAGGGGTGCAGCCTGGGGATAGTCCCAAGGGCCAAACAGAGAGGTTTGCAGGGCTGCATTTGGCTTCTGGCTCTGAGGTCCCCCCCCTCCGTACTAAGCTCATCTTAAGATGGATGGTTTTATGGTTGAGTTTATGCTCACTGTGATAATTATTTTTCTTGTGAACATGGATTCTATAAATGAATGCAAATAAAGTATTTTTAAAATTGGCAGAGGAGCGATTGCACCAAATCTCTACTGAGACTTACCTGGCTGTGTCACCTTAAAACCAGGTGGAGAAATGGTGTGCTTTGAGCACTGTTCGCAGTCATGGTTGATGAACTGAGTGCAATAATAGCCAGGCTTGCAAGAGCAGACTGTGTTCTTCGTATACGTGCATTCTTCTTTAACTCTTAGATGGGCTCCTGCTGGGCACAATCACAGATATGAGGGTTTGTGGGGGCCACTGTTATGACTGTTATTATTTTTACATGCCACCCCAATCTCCAAGTGGTGGCAGAATCCAGGAGATCTAGGTGTTTACTCTGCTTCTGTTTCCTTGGCAGGAAGGTCAATGGAGACTGTGGTGTCTTTAGGATACTGTATATGTATTTTCTACACATACATACAACCTGAGCATGAGATAGATCACAGCATTAACTCCTACAGATCTTGCTTTTTTCATTAGCCACAGCTTTGGATTCAGCACAGATCAGGAATGTCTCTTTGTCCCCAGCTTCCAGCCTGCTTCCAGCTCAGCACACACACATCTGGCTATTCTTCTCCTACCTAGCTGCTAGGTAAAGGAAATGCCCACCCATTAGCCTGGAGGGCGCCATCAACTAGCTCTTAAACCTAGCTCATTCTTTTGTGATGCTGACGAGGACAGTCAAGTGGCCGGCTAAGGCCAGACACTGGTCTTACAATAAATAAATATATGTCTGACCATGCTTAATTAAAGAATCCTAGTCTTTTTTCTCAACACCATGGACAGGTCCCCAGACTCAAGAGCTCTCCTCGTGTACCTTCTAGTGATGACATGTTTCCCCAGGGGCGCTGCCTGGCAGGTAGCCATTTTAATATCTCACTATAACCCTGATGTAGCCTTGAACAAGGGCATTGTGGGAAATGAAAACAGTCTCAGGCCACTTCTGCCACTCGCATAATCCTGTGGCTAAAGACCCTAAACCATGGAGATGGGGGGCAGCAAAGGCAGTCTGTGAAAAGATTCATGTTACATCTACTAAGAGCAAGGCCTTGAGGGTTACAACCAGTGCTAATCCTACTCAGAGTAGAGCCATTGCAGGTAATGGACATAACTGAGGTTCATTTCCTTTCAGCGCCAACTAAAAACCTAACCTTTTCTTTCCCCCAGGTCTTTGGATAGAATGATAGGGTATTGTTTTCTTATCAGTGTGCAGACTGTGTATAATGCATTCATATTAATGTTTTGAAATGTATTCTAAGTCACTTGGTTAACAACAACAAGAAGAATTTTACCTGATTTACATTCTTTACATTTAAGGCACCATGCCAGTGCATTTGACCATTCCATGTACGTCCTCAAAGTACAAGGAACACATATTGTACTGGAAGTAGAAGTGCAGTATCTCTCGACTTTGTATCCTGTGGACAAAGAGGTTCAGGTGGAGTTGGGTTCAAGACATTTCCGTGGCTTGTATACCTACTCTGGGGATCATTCCAATATTTGATTTTCCGACCCAACCCGACCAATACTCCGGCCATCAAAAGTGTGGGTCTTGATCTGGTTTGCTTTCAAGAATGCTAGGTTCCTGCCAGACCTTGCAGGACCAGCACAAGACATTTTGCTGCTTGAGGGAAATGGGAAAATGGCACCCCTCCTCTGAATCCTAATTTGTTAAGCAGGCTCCTCAACCAGGTCTGGGTGGGAACAATGCTGGGAACTAGTGTGGCCAAGCAGGTGAATGAGGGGGACAGTGGGGCAGTGGCTAGGACCTGTGTGCCCCAGCCCCACTCCCTTCTCCACTGCTGCCTGGGGAAGGAGTCTCAAAGAGGCTAACAATCTCATTCCCTTCCTCCCCGACAACAAACACTCTGTGAGGTGAGTGAGGTTGAGAGACTTCAGAGAAGTGTGACTAGCCCAAGATCACCCAGCAATACAGAGGAGAGGGGAATCGAACCCTGTTCACCAGATTACGAGTCTACCGCTCTTAACCACTACACCACACTGGCTCTCAGAGAGGAGTAGGTGGTCGCAGTTCCTATCCGTAGCTGAAGGAGAAACAGCAAAGTTGTGCAAAGATGCCCCTCTTCTTTCTGGGTCTGCCACCCCGCTTGGTTGTCCCCAGCCTGCCGCCTGAGGCAACTGCCTCTACAAGGCCAATGGATTGGCCGGCCCTGTTTACAGGGGGAAGAACGAGGGTGTCATTTCTGCTTACCTGGATTACACTTGGGGCAACATTCACCACGGATATTATACTCTGAATCAGTACAGGAGGAGACTTCCTGGTAGAGAAGCAGCTGTGTTGCGAGGAAGATGCAGAAGCTCTTTCAGGGAGAGAAAAAAGGAGAGAGAAAGGAGACTTTAGTCTCACTGTGCCCGGCTCAGTGCATTCTTGGATTAATCCTATCATTCTCCCCAGCCCACCCCAGGAAAGGCAAAGAAGGATATGAAACAGCAGCCTGAAAAGTTTGGGCAGGAAACAGGGATGCTCTTGAACTTACGACTTTCTCCCCCAGATTTTTGGAGTTGTGAAACAAAAAGATATGAACCTCCTGTCAGGTCGCTGCTTCCTTGAGCCTGAGAGCTACATTCTAGGTAGCCTTCCATGCTAGTGGTGAGTTTGACCAGTGTGAATTTTACCTTTGTACAACATGCTTGTTTCTACAGGGGTGGACCTTGGTAACATGCCATCTTGTGTGGAGGCATTTGACGCTCTCCACCAGCCTTTGCAGTACCGGCTTAAGCCAGGCTTTTGAAAGGAGGTGTCCTAGAGCCCTCCTACCTCATTCCCAAAGCCTGGTAAGTGCTTGCCCACCCTTGGGAAGGAGAAAGGTGGACTCTAGGGCCCTGTCAGAGCCCTCACGCCTCCTTTCCGAAGCCAGGCAAGTGCTCCAATTCAGTGTTAAAGTTCGGGTTTCCCTGGCGGGTGGGGGTGGGCTGTGGTGGGACAAACAGAAGTTTGGATAAGACCTTACTCTGGAGTACACTCAGCTGAGCTGGGAAAGCACAGCACCCACTGCATCCAAACACTCCAATTCCAATAGATCTTGGGTTTGGATTTGGTTGTTAAATATGTATTCAAATAGCTACTGAAATATAATTTTTCATGTTTAGGTATTTATTTTTAAATCAGACCTTAATTCAAACTTAAGAATTAAGACATGCAAAACAAACACTGTCCAGAAACTGACTAGCATAGTAGCCAGGGACTTTCCTGAGGGCAATGTCAGCCTTTGGAACAGGAAGTGCCATAAAGCATTTCCTTTTGCACTCACAACTTCTCCTAAGCACGAACAACCTCTTCCTGGTTCCGATGTGCTTCAGTGCGCCTCTCTGAAGCCTGACTTGGATTCTCACCAACACACACACACACACCAGCCACAGAGCCTTGCTGCCCCTTTGACAGCCTGGCTGGGTAGGCCTGATCATGGCAGTGGCAGACTTTGGGCTCTCAAATTTCGGTGGCCTTCTGAGCGACACTAAAATTCAGGGGGAAGGCTGCCTCTCCTGTTGTGTTGCACAGTGTGGTTGCATCAGTCATGCTACTCCAAGACTGCCTCTGCTGATGGTGCCCTCAAAGCCCAGTTGATGGCACCAATGCTCTGAACACAAGTGGCTGGAATTAAATGCACACCAAATGTGGGACAAATTTAGTAGACCTATGTTAGTCATTCATTTCAATGGGTCTACTCTTAGGATTGGCAATAGATGCAACCCAGTGGATCTACTCTGAGCAGGACTTAAGATATCACCCAGTGCATTTTTGTATCTTATTTTCATAAACATGTGCCTTTCTATGCATCCAACCATATTGGAGAGCTATACTGCAAAATTTGGAGCAGTGCACATTTTTAAAGGAGGCTCATTTTGTGTTGGGACGCGGGTGGCGCTGTGGGTAAAAGCCTCAGCACCTAGGGCTTGCCGATCGAAAGGTCAGCGGTTCGAATCCCCGCGGCGGGGTGCGCTCCCGCTGCTCGGTCCCAGCGCCTGCCAACCTAGCAGTTCGAAAGCACCCCCGGGTGCAAGTAGATAAATAGGGACCGCTTACTAGCGGGAAGGTAAACGGCGTTTCCGTGTGCGGCTCTGGCTCGCCAGAGCAGCGATGTCACGCTGGCCACGTGACCCGGAAGTGTCTCCGGACAGCGCTGGCCCCCGGCCTCTTGAGTGAGATGGGCGCACAACCCTAGAGTCTGTCAAGACTGGCCCGTACGGGCAGGGGTACCTTTACCTTTACCTTTTACATTTTGTGTTGGAACAAGTGAATTAGGGCGATTTGCTTTTAAAACTGCGCTGAGTTGACTTTTTCTCCCATCCGTACATCAAATGCATTCCAGTGCACAATTGCTTGGGAGAAAGCCCAATGAATACAGTGCGATTTACTTCTGAGTAAACATGCTGAGAATCGTGCTGCTAGAGAATGTTTTTAAAATGTTCGGGGGCAAGGCAAGGAACAGGAGCTCAAAAACATACTGTACTTCTTTTATTTCTCCACAAGGTGGCATACTGTGCCTGTCTATCAAAGTGGGTGGGGCGGAGGAAGTAAACAAAAGAATCGACCTATGCAAAGGGAAATTCCCAGAGCAAACAAACCTGGAGTTGTTTCGTGACTTGTAAAGGCGTTTTTCGGAATGCTCATTAGCAGTCACGGTGTTCAAACCTATATTGTTATCAGCTGCGTGAAGATTTCGCATGCAAATAAATTCAGTGGTAGGTATGAATCAGGAGAGAACTTGAACACTGTTGGACTCAAACTCTAATCAGCTCTGGCATGCATGCCCAATGACCCAGGATGATGGGAGTTGTAGTCCAACATCTGGGGACCCATAGGGTCGCCATGCTTGACATAAAATTAGAGGACTGTAATCCCAAACCTACTTAATAGGGAGTAATATGATAGGAAGAGGAGTTGTTGTTGTTAGTCGCTTTTCTCACAGAACGGCCCAAAGTAATGTACAGTGGTACCTCGGGTTACAGAGGCTTCAGGTTACAGACTCCGCTAACCCAGAAATAGTACCTCGGGTTAAGAACTTTGCTTCAGGATGAGAACAGAAATCGTGCCGCGGCGGTGCAGTGGGAGGCCCCATTAGCTAAAGTGGTGCTTCAGGTTAAGAACAGTTTCAGGTTAAGAACGGACCTCTGGAACAAATTAAGTACTTTAAGGTAAAAGGTAAAGGTACCCCTGCCCGTACGGGCCAGTCTTGCCAGACTCTAGGGTTGTGCGCTCATCTCACTCTATAGGCCGGGAGCCAGAGCTGTCTGCAGACACTTCCGGGTCACATGGCCAGCGTGACAAGCTGCATCTGGCGAGTGAGCGCAGCACACACGGAACGCCGTTTACCTTCCCGCAAGTAAGCGGTCCCTATTTATCTACTTGCACCCGGAGGTGCTTTCGAACTGCTAGGTTGGCAGGCACTGGGACCGAGCGACGGGAGCGCACCCCCGCCGTGGGGATTTGAACCGCCGACCATGTGATCGGCAAGTCCTAGGCGCTGAGGTTTTACCCACAGCGCCACCCGTGTCCCTATAACCCGAAGTACCACTATATATTAAAACCAATTAAGAACATGCAATAAAAACACAGCTATCCAGACAAGAGGCAGGACTTACAGATCACACCATGCTAAAAAGAAGAAAAGAAAAGAAAAAGAAGGCTGCAATCCCATCCATAATATCAAGGCCAGAAGCCCAGTTAATGAGAGAAGCCTTTCCAGGCATGGCTCCCTGGGGAGAGCATTTCACCAGCAGGGAGCCATCACTAAAAAGACCCACTCAAAGAAGGGCTTCATATTGATCACAGGGTCTGGGTTCAGTCATGTGGGGTTACTAGTATTGTTGAGCAGATTTGTATTGAATTCTGCTGCAGACTGTATTATTATTATTATTATTATTATTATTATTATTATTACTACTACTACTACTACTACTACTACTACTTATATCCCGCCCATCTGACTGGGTTGTGCCAGCCACTCTGGGTGGCTTCCAGCAGAATATAAATAAAATAACGAAACATTCTATGATCAAACATTAAAAACTTCCCAATACAGGGCTGCCTTCAGATGTCTTCTGAAAGTTGTCTAGTTGTCGATCTCTTTGACTTCTGATGGGAGGGAGTTCTACAGGGCGGACACCACTACCAAGAAAGTCCTCTGTGTGGTTCTCTGTAATGTCACTTGCCATAGAAGCCAACTCCTAGGGGGTGAGGTTCCTTCCCCTCCCCCCATAAAATATTTGAGGGGGTACTCCTGCCTCAAGTTGATGGGCATTCCCCTTCAAATGGTGTTCATGTGCCATGTCTTGTGATTAGTTACGTGGGACAGGGCTTACCTGCCCCCCAATACTTTATTCAAGTTGGCACCTCTGCTTCCCACAGTGAGGAAACCGCCAGAAGGCCCTCAGAGCTGGACCTCAGCGTCCAGGCTGAATGATAGAAGTGGAGTTGCTCCTTCAGGTATAATGGGCCAAGGCTATTTAGGGCATTAAAGGTCAGCACCAACACTTTGAATTGTGCTCGGAAATGTACTGGGAGCCAATGTAGTTCTTTTAGGACCAGTGTTATATGGTCCAAGCAGCCGCTCCCAGTCGTCAGTCCAGCAGCCGCATTCTGGATTAGTTGCAGTTTCCGAGTCACCTTCAAAGGCAGCCCCACACAGAGCGCGTTGCAGTAGTCCAAGCGAGAGATAACCAGACCCAGGGATGCAGAACCTACCACTCCCACCATCCCAAGCCAGCACAGATAATCAGTAAATATGGGTCTTGTAGTCCAACAACATCTGGAAGATTACACAGGTTCTCCTGGTCTGGAACTGAGGGAGAAATGCAAGCACAGGAGCGAAAAAAAGCTACAAAAATGTAGCCAAGTAAATATTCTTATAAGAAGAAGGCCAGAGAAATTGCTGTGATGTGCTAACCGAATGTGGGTGGAGGGGAACCATGGTTACAAGTGAAGCCTGAAACTAGTGGAATCACATTAGCTGGGAAATTCTGGTTTCACAACGTTGCAGCCTCATGATGGAATCTTTTGAAATCTTTCTGCTGAAATCTGGTGACTAGGGGTCAGCAGCATTGCATTCAGAGAAGGGGACAAATTCTTTCTTCTGTTGCTGCTGACTTTGTCAGAGACCAGCTCCGCCAGGAAACCCTCAGCTATCTTGGATCCCACAGCTATTTTAGTCTACCCAGTGTGGTGTAGTGGTGTAGAGCCAGCGGAGTGTAGTGGTTAGAGTTCTTGACCTAGGAGTCAAGGGTTCAAATCCCCACTCGGCCATGATGATGAATCACTGAAGGACCTGGGGCCAGTCATTGCCTCTCATCCTGACCTACT